TCTCTAAATTATTATTTAAATAAATTATTTTCCTTAAATATATAGTCTCGGGATGAGGGTAAACTAATACAAACACATTGATGGTTTGAACAAAAAAATTTATATCATGACCTCATTAATTTACCATGTTGCATTAATGGGAGATATATATTTTTTAGTGTGAAGTACCATGTTGTAAATTACATCTATATTCCTTTCACACCTTAATTTTAAAATACAACTCAATTTCATAAACTTAATTACTAATAATAAACGAAAAAAAATTGGGACATAAATATATATGTTCACTATAGGACTCCAACTTACAAACTTATAGTGTTTATGCCATAAATTGTAAAAATTTAAGATTATATAACATGTCAAATATTTTTAATGAATGGATATAACTTGTCAGACATGTGATTCTAGATCTCATGTCAGATCAAATGCCACATAAAAAAGAAATAGCCAAAAAGATGAGATTTTATATTTTAATTATCTATTTGAGCCACCTTAAGATTGTTTAAAATGATCTTTAGGAGTTGGTTTCAATCAAGGATGTAAACTACCTGATAATGGGACAGATGGTAAAATCTAAATGGAATTTTGACTTAATCAATTGTTGAGATGTCTAACTTCTTTAGAAAACTGTCCATGTTCGAGCAACTACATGGAGTGGGGTTGCAAGTGGGGAAGAGAAAAACAAAAGGAAAACTTTTTATCATTCAACACACGACTAGTCTTATAGACAACTTGACAAATTTTCAAACTTTTAGTTTCCGGCGATTGCTCATTTTAACTTACAAATTTCGATTTTTAGCATAATTCCTAGTAGATGTAGGTTGTTTTTCATTATTCTAAGAGCTAAATTAGTTTGTGTATTTGCTTCAACAAATTCGTTTCATGTAATGAATATCAAGTTTTTGAATTTCTACAAGGTACTGTTCTTTTTCTAATTCGCATTAATTTAATGTTTATGATAAATAGCGTTTCATCAAATGATTATTTATATGGCATTCACGCTTCTTCTTAGTTTCAAGCATGTTAGTTTAGTCCTTATTCATATTTGCTTTAGTGTTATTTAGGATTATATTTCCAATTCTACAGTAGTTTAATTTCTAGATCTGTTTGTATATAGTAATTTAATCTAACAATGAATATGTTTAATTTAATTTGAATACATTTTATTCTTGCAAATTTATTTTAGTTTGCATTTCGTGTAGTTCATTTAGGGTCTGTTAACTTAAGTTCACAGTAGTGTTTAAGTTCTTGAAGCTGTTCAAGACAACTTTAGTAACTCATTCTACATGAAGGTATCTGTCACTCTTGCAAATTGTTTGTTGGTGCAAATATTAATTGAAAACCAACGTTTTCCCTACCATCCACAAGGAAGTCAATCATGAAAAAGGAGGTCAATCGTAAAGAAAGAGAATGTCATTGGGAAAATCTTTTTTTCTTGCTTTTAGCAAAATAAGTGTTATGTCCATATTCAGATTTTATACATGCGAAACTACTTGAGAAACCACTTGAGAGTTTTTTAGGAAACACATAGCAATTTTTATTTTTGTTTTTCAAAAATGTATGAATTAACCCTATATTGCATGTCTAAGTTAAGGGTGCGAGTGCGATTGGTTTTCTACTTTCTAGGATATAATTTCCTGGGAAGCCACACATATTTGGATCGGTTTAGTTTGGGAATATTATTTTTCAAGCACAAATTCTAATGAAAAATCATAATTGACTATATGTAAATATAGTCGGTTATAAAGAAAAAAAATTCAAGTTTGTGGGGAAAGTATTTTTTCTCGACTTTTTGCTTAGAATTGAAATTTAAGCAATATAGCCAACTATAATGCATTATAGTTAGTCGATTTTTTTTTATTAATTAATTACTAGATAGT